CTCTTCAAGTTGTGCTCTCCTTCTCCCCTTGCTTTGACTGCCTTGCCATTTGTAATTCTTTTTTGTAGAGCATCATAATTAGACAATAAGTTGTTGTAAGCATTCCTCCACTTAGTCACTTTTCCTTTCAACTCTTGCTATTTAATCACTTTATCCACAAGCTCTTTGTTCTCCTTTTCTTTTGCCTTAAGATCTGCCTTTACTCGTAGTAGCTTTTTTCGTTGTTCTTCGGCCAACTCCAAGCTTCTCTTTTGCTTCCCACAAATTTCCTTACTAGCAGCCAAATCCCTTTCTAAAGAGGTAATTTTGTCTTTCAACCTTGCCACTTGTTGATCGGACAACTTCTTCCCTCTTTTAAGCAATTCATGATCAAGAACTAACTCATCATACTTCTCCAGCAACTGACATCTTTGAGCATGGCTAAGTTCCAGCATAGCAGTTAAGTCCATGATAGTAGAGTTTTTCATATTTGTCACCTTTCATGGCAAAGAAAGCTTAGCTATCCAACTCGATCTTTATTGCTCATATTGTGGTCTGGTCCCATTTTCTTTCAATATAGGTAGCATCCTACATTTATCCCACACCTCATGTGCTTCGGATATAATTGTTGGGGAAGACATGTAATCAAAGTGTGACTGCAATGTGTTATCAAGATAGGGAACGCTTTGTGCTTTTCCAAACTGACGAGATGCCTACTCCACTGAATATGTAACCCCTCCCTGAATACCCCACAAAGGAATAGAGTGATGTCTTTCGGGTGGAGCAAGATAATGAGTAGCATTCCAAGTCGGGAGAACAAATTCGACATCATTAACAGTTGTTGCTAGAAGTGATCGATGCCAATCCTCCGTCTTTCTATCTTTGATAGGAACGTTGAATAAAGCTTCAAATTAAGGACCCCTCAAGTGACCATGTGCCCATGTAGTGAACAACTCGATGAAACTCGAGAAGCAGTCGGATCTTTTAGCCCGGATTTCTCTCATAGACCATAAAGTTTCAGCCACCATTATAGAAGCAGGATTAAATGCCGAAGTGTGCAACAATTGCTCAAACAAAGCTACCACCATAGGTGCAATGGTCTTGACATAGATAGGGAAGATCACCATGCCATAAATTCCCAATGCCACAAAGTTGATTCTTTGAGAAGATGTCATGCCCTTCAATCTCTTTCCCAAAGCCATTAACGTCGCATTCCAATTGAACCCATAAGAATCATCTCTAATTGTCACCAATGGTTGTGAGAATTCAAATGAAAACCCCCACATAGCTTGCAACATTTCTTGAATTTTTTCTAGTGTGAACTTCATATGTTGTGCTTGAGGAGTGACGGTAGAAGAATCCATTGCAGGACTACTCCACAGGAAGTGATGATACTCATCAATGGTGGGCACCAACTCAAAGTGTGGGAACTCAAAAGCTTGATATTGAGGGACATAGAATTTCAACATAGCTCGGAACAAGTTCCAATCCGGTACCACTGACAATAGATCCTTGATGCACCCAAATCGGGCCTCAAAGTCATGCTTCTCTTTAGAGGACGACAAGCTATAAGCCTTTTTCAGCAGCTTCAAGTCAGGTTTGGAGGTATTGACTGAAAAGATTGACTCCTTAGCCTTCTTAGTAGTAGAATGAGATGTGACATCTTCCCTAAGTCTCTTCCGTTATCTAGTTGTATCCTCAGTAAAATCCATGTCTAATGCATGATCTTAACTAAACAAAAGGCTTAAAAGAGTTAAACATAAATCATACCCTCATATGCCATACCTCATTAGATGTGCAAAAATAAGCTGCCATATGCACAAATGGAGGTTAGCGAAGTAAAATGCCCCTTTTGTGCCTTAAACACGGGACGCATAACCTCACGAGTCAGAAGCTAAGGGAAACATGTCCTAGGGTTGGTATCCCTCTAAAGCCAATATATGCTTTCCTACAAGGCATTAGGCCTTCTCAACCATTTATCCTTTCAAAATCAATGGGAGATATTTCCAAAAGCTAATACATAGAATGATATTATATCATCAAGTGTCGTATTAACCAATGGAAACAACCTAACGGGAATCGATCTTACTCCTCAAAATGGGAAGAATTGATCTTCGAAGCCAGATTCATAAGGATTCCAGACTAGAGGTTGGGTTCACCTCCGACACGGACCTAATGCAAAATAAGAGTGAGTGTATGCAAGGGGCATGAAACTTCAATAACCAGTACAATGGCAACCACAAAAATAGCAACATATATCCCACAGTAAGCAAATAAAGCAAACATGTAAAGCACTCAACAAATATATCACCCACAAACAAAACCTACTTGCACAACAGGAAGGGACTCACCTTGTACTCTCATGCCAAATGCAAAAAGTTAGTACATCCACATACAAGCAAGTAGGCATGTAAGCATAATGCATGATGAATATGTAACATCAATGACACATGAACATGTGAAACAATATGATGCATGAACATATGATGCATGTCAAGATATAGCAAGATAACTATTCAAAAACAAAACAACAGAAGCAAACACTGAAGCAAACACCAAAGCAACAAGCCAACAATCAACAAGCACATGCAATAAGCAACAAGGGCAAGCAAAGCCTCAACAAGAAAAGAAAATCAAAAGTTGAAAAACTCCCCAAAGTTAAAGCATTAGCTCGACCCTTGTGAACCTAGAATATGGAAACCAGAGATTCTGGGTTCGATCCCGAGTGGAGTCGCCAATCTGTTGACGACCACACTTAAAATTAAAACATTACATTAAGTTAAGTGTGAAAAATATATAAAAAAAAGGTTAAAACCCCTTTTTGGTCCTTGAACTATTGTACGAACCCCCGATTTGATCCCTGAACTAAAAAAATCCCTAATTTAGTC